ACTCTTTGAGGTCCAAGGGGATGTATTCCTCGGCTATGAGCCTTAGAGGAACTGTATTGCGTCGGACTTTTGAGATCCGAGGGGATGTGTTCCTCGGCTATGAGCCTGAGGAACTATATTGCTTCGGACTCTTAAGGTCCGAGGGGATGTGTTCCTCGGCTATAAGCCTAAGAGGAACTGTATTGCGTCGGACTCTTGAGGTCCGAGGAGATGTGTTCCTCAGCTATGAGCGTGAAAGGAATTGTATTGCGTCGGACTCTTGAGGCCCGAGGGGATGTGTTCGTCGGTTATGAGCCTGAGAGGAACTGTATTGCGTCAGACTCTTGAGATCCGAGGGGATGTGTTCCTCGGCTATGAGCCTAAGGAACTATATTGCTTCGGACTCTTAAGGTCTAAGGGGATGTGTTCCTCGGCTATGAGCTTGAGAGGAACTGTATTGCGTTGGACTCTTGAGGTTCGAGGAGATGTGTTCCTTGGCTATGAGTCTAAGAGGAACTGTATTGCGTTGGACTCTTGAGGTCCGAGGAGATGTGTTCCTCGGCTATGAGCCTGAGAGGAACTGTATTACGTCGGACTCTTGAGTTCTGAGGAGATGTGTTCCTCAGCTATGAGCCTGAGAGGAATTGTATTGCATCAGAATCTTGAGGTCCGAGGCCTAATCTAGAGAACTTACCAAGTATGCAAGGCTGGCCGATGATTCAAAAATGACATGAGGCCAAGAAAGAGAGTAACTGTAACTGAGGAGTCCCTCATTCGTTTGCTTGGGAGACTTTCTTTCACAAAGACTTTCTTCGTGGCAACCAAATATGGTGCGCTAACTCTATATGTACTATATACCTCTTGTACTCCTATTCAATATGGGACAAGGAATATATTTCACTATAGGCCAAAAACTTGGCTTGCTTGGAAAGAAAGAACAAAAATTATTGCAAAGAATGCTCGTTGGTATTAGGGCTTTGAACACAACTTGGGCTGAGCCGTTACTGTTACCAACGGGCCCTCTTTGCAATGCACTCCAATAATTTAATATTTCCCTATTTAAAGGTACATATGAAGTAGGTTTTTTTCAATGTGGGACTACAGTAGATAAGTGCTCTGAGCTACACATCTTTGCAGTTTGTGTCCAAAAACGAAAGAAAAACTGTAAAGCATTTTTGGGTCAATGATTTAAGTAGAGCCTGAATGTTCAATGGGCATTCGTTGTAATGCACATGCACTCTAAAGTATGTTTTCACGAAAAAGGACTTGTAAGTACCACCAAAAAGCCAAAAAATGACATAGCTTTGTTTTGTTTGTTTTGTGGTAATATCTTTCTTTTGTCGTAATATTTTTTTCTTTCATCATAGTATCAATAGGAGGGTACATGTATTGCCCCCTATGACAACAAAAGGAAAATAACAACAAGTAATACCCCATATGGAAGAAAAAGGAGTGAAGATTGTATAACTCAAGAAACTTTTATTATATGGCCTAGGAATAACCATACTTAGATAGAAAATAGACGTACGCTGTCTGTAAATGTAAAGTAAATAAACCATATTATCTAATGATAGTACATTTTCAAATGTATTCCATTCCATGGACGTGCAATTGGACGCCCATCAGCTTCTACCAATCGATAAGCTCCTTTCCCTACTACTTCTGTGACTCTGTAAGGTCCAATCCAATTGGGTTGTAACTTTTTTACATGAGCTGTTTCCTGCTTCAGCACCCAATCTCCTTCCACAAAATGTTTGAACCTAACTCACTTGTTGTAACTGTTACTGGTACGAAGCGAGCCGAATGGTTGTGGCATCCCTCTTTTCTTCTAAGAGATCGAGGCTGTATTCAAGTTGTTGATCATTGTTACCTTCGAGTACCAAGTGGGTCCGAATAGTTAGAACTGCTGATTCCGTGGGGATGACAGCCTCAGACTAATAGGCCATGGCAAAAGGGCTTTCTCCTGTTGGCCTTCGTAGGGTGGTTCGATATGCCCAAAGCACTTGGGGTAGATTCTTGTACCAATTTGATTTGAGTATTTCCAACTTTTTCTTCAGGCAGCTGAAAATGGTTCGATTAGTTATTTCAGCCTGCCCATTTCCCTGAGGATGGCTAACTGCGGCAAACTTCTGCCTAATCCCATGCTCGGCGAGGAACTTTCTTGTGCTTCGATTATCCAGGTTCGGGCCATTGTCCATCATGATAACATTCGGCACCCCAAACCGGCAAATTATGTTGTTCCATAGAAAACTCTTCACTTGTTTATGGGTCACGCTTAAATAAGCTTCGGCTTCAACCCACTTAGTAAAGTAATTAGTGGCCAGCAACACATATTCCTTTTTCTCCACAGTTTTAGGTAAAGGAACGACCATATCAATCCCCCATTAAGCGAATGGCCATGGGTTCGCCATTGCGTGCAAATCTTCGGCGGGTTGATGTTTCATTGGACCATGTCGCTGGCACTTATCACACCTTCTGGCATACTCTTTAGCATTCTGAGCCAAGTAAGGCTAGAAATAACCTTGAGTCAGGACCATATGTGCCAAGGATCTTCCTCCATAGTGGTTGCCACAATCCCCGTCATGAATCTATTTTAGAATCGTGACGGCCTCAATAAGACTTAAACATTTTAGGTAAGGACCTGAGAATGACTTCCGATATAATTGATTATTGAAGATGGCAAATTTGGCTGCGGTGAGCCTGGGCTTCCGTGCCTCGGCCTTCTGGTTCAGGCGAGTCCCCTCCTTAAGGTAAGCTTCCAATGGATCCATCTAGTATGGTTCACGTGGAACATCTGGGATCACCATTATTTCTACCGAGGGCTTATAGTTAGTTCGTCCAGGATGTCAATTGGTACAATCCGGACCAAATCTTTATCTGAAGAAGACGCTGCTGCAGCCAACTGATCTGCTTTGGAATTCTCCTCGCGAGGTACCTTATGGAACTCAATTTGATCAAAACCTCACCAGGCACTCTCCACAGCCTCCTTATAGGCTTTCATCCTATCTTCCTTGGGCTAATACTGGCATGTTACCTGATTGACAACAAGCTAAGAATCACTAAAAACTTTTAGACACCTTACCTGAAGCTGGCTTGCTAGCCAGAGTCCTGCGAGCAAGGCCTCATATTCTGCCTCATTGTTAGTGGCAGGAAAAGTCAGATGGATTGATTGTTGCAGCCTGGTGCCTTCGGGGGTTGTGATAATGACTCCGGCCCCGGCACTAATCAGGTTTGAGGAACCATCCACCCGAAGCTCCCATTGTAGCTCGGAAGGGCCTGGCTCCTCGTGCTTATCCTCATATTCTAAGAGGAAATCGGCTAGTGCTTGCCCTTTGTGTGACACCTTTGGTTTATAAGATATATAGAAGGAATTGAGTTCGATTGCCCATTTATTTATCCTTCCGGATAAATCAGGCTTGGAAAGAATGACTCGCATGGGGTAGTTGGCAAGAACTTTGATGCTGTACGACTCAAAGTAGTGTCAAAGTTTTCTTTTTGCATACACCAATGCTAGTATGATCTTCTTTACTTTGCTGTATCGCATTTCTGCATCTGTCATTATCTTACTAGTGTAGAAGATTAGATATTGACTCTTACCTTCTTTTCTAATCAATACTGCACTCGTGGCTATGCTGGAGATGGCTAAGTACATGATAAGAGTTTCACTAGGCTTCGAAGCTGACAGAATCAGGGGTTTAGTTATGTAGCACTTCAGTTGATTGAGAGCAGCCTGCTGTTGAGGTCCCCATATGTCTTTATTTTTGGACCTTATTGCATCAAAGAATGGTTTGCACTTATCTGAAAATCGAGAGATAAATCGACTGAGAGCTGCGATTTGACCAGTCAATACCTATACTTCTCTGCGGGTTTTTTGGCTCTTGATTTTGTATAAGGGCCTGACCCTAAGCCGGACTTACCTCAATTCCCCTTTTATTTATAATATGGTCGAGGAATTGTCCTGAAGAAACCGCAAAGGAGCACTTTGAAGGGTTTAGCTTCATACCATACCTTCTCAAAGTGTCAAAGACCTCTTGGAGGTGCTTGGGATGTTCCTCCTTCTTCACACTTTTGACCAACATATTGTCAATATAAGCCTCGACCGTCTTTCCCAATATCTCGTCGAAGATCTGGTTAATAAGGTGCTGATAAGTTGCCCCAGCATTCTTGAGTCCGAAGGGCATAACTCTATAATAGTAGGTACCCTTCTCTGTTATGAAAGCAGTTTTCTCTTCATCCTCTGGATTCATAGGGATTTGGTTATAGCCAGAGTATGCATCAAGAAACGTGAGCCTCTCAAAACCAGTAGTAGCATCAACCATCTGATCTATTTTGGGTAATGGAAAGCTGTCTTTAGGGCAGGCTTTGTTGAGATTGGTAAAATCTATGCACGCCCTCTATTTTCCGTTCTTCTTCTGAACTACCACCACGTTAGAGAGCTATTGTGGGTAGTGCACCTCTCGGATGAAGCCCGCCTGAAGCAATTTGCTTACTTCTTCAGCTATAATTCGGTTGCGCTCAGGAGCAAACCTTCTGTGCCTCTACTTAACTTGTTTGAATGCCGGATCCACCTTTAGGTTATGGCATGAGACTGAAGGATTGATTCTTACCATATCTGAATGCTCCCAAGCAAATGCATCTGCGTTCTATAGAATGACATCAATTAATGCCTTCTTTTCTTCGGCTGTGGGGGAAGAACCTATGTAGGTGACTTTCTGAGGATCGCCAAGGATTACTTTGACAGCCTCCAGAGACTCCTCGGTAGGGTATTTAGCTTCGGCCTCATCCTCTGCTTCTTTCAGATACCTGGGCAGAGGGTTTTGTAATTGTTATTTGGACATGCTCCCAGGAGGTGCGATTGGTTGAGACTGTTTTGTTACTTTCTTTGCTTCATTCTGTGTTAACATATAGCATTCTTTGGCTGCAACCTGATCTCCCTTAAGATCAATGACCTCTTTATCATCCGGAGACAAGCATCGCATCACTTGATGAAGGGTAGATGGAACCCCATTCATTCGATGGATTCAGCCTCTTCCTATAATAAGATTGTATGAAGGGTGGATCTCCATTAGAACAAAACTCTCCTTCAGTGTCCTCTTTGCTCCAGTTACGGATAGGTCAATTACCCCAAGGGGGTCCACCTTTGTGCCATCAAACCCTTTCAAAGGGCTGGAAGTGGGCCGAATTGATGATGACGGAATCTCCAGCTGCTCAAAGACCGCATTTGTGATGATGTTGACACTGCTATGCAGGTCTATCAAAACCCTCTTAATCATGAAATTCGCCACCAAGAGATTGATGACCAACGGGTCCTCATGGGGGAGTTGAACTCTAGATATATCCCCATTGCCTAACCCAATGTTGACGCTTTCCGGAGCGATAGCGTTCACTGAGGATAACCTCCTTAGCTTATAGGCTGTCCTCAATCGGGATTTATATACCTCCTTTAACTCTTGATCATCTTCTGATCTTCCATGTATTGCGTGGATGACGTTCACTTGATTACCTTCGACTTTCCGAGGATTAACCTCCCAGGGCTTCACATACTCCTTTGTTGTGAGGTAATCTGCCAATTCACCTCTCAATATCATGGTTTCCACCTGCCGCCTAAGGGATCTGCAATCATTAGTTATGTGCCCGTAATCTCTATGGTAGGCGCAGTGCTTGTTTTTGTCTCTCTGTTCCAAAGGTTGCCTTATTGGCTGAGGGGCGGCAAACTACATCTTATTCTCTTGGAATAGCTGAGCCATGGTTGTGCGAAGAGGTGTGAACCTTTCCTCTATCCTTTGCCTTTTCACGGGTATTTGAATGGCTGGTACTGAAGTGTGCTGGCCTTTTTGGCTTTTTGATTTTGAAACCCTTTCCTGAGGCATGTTCTCCACTGTGACGAGGGTAGCATGTTGTGCTCAGTGGGCCACATTTTCCTCAAGGCGGATGTAGATCTGTGCCTTAGCATTGAGAGTCTGCATGTCCGGAGGGGAATATTTAACTAGGGATGTATAGAACTTGGTTCCTTGAATCATTGCAAGTTTGAACGTTTCTATTGCGGTAGCAGGATGACAATCTACTATTTCTGAAGCCTCTATGTTAAATCTAGACAAGAAATCTTGTAATGTTTCGCCTTTCTTTTGCCTTATAGTGAAAAGGCTAGCAATACTCTTTTTTTGCTTCTTATTACTGCAATACTGCGCTAGGAACATATTACACAGAGTTTCGTAGTCTGGAATAGATTTGTGTGGCCTATTCCTAAACCACTTTAGCGTAGCCCCTGTTAGACTGGTAGGGAAAACTTTGCACATCCATGGGTCATTGTGATCGTCTAGAGCCATCTTTTGTGCGTAGTGATCTAGGTGCCGAAAAGGATCTCCCGTACCATCAAACTAGGTAAAGGAAGGCATAGTGAATTTCTTAGGTTTGTCAATAAGGTACACATCGTTAGTGAACGGGGTCTTCACGAGAGAATTCTATGTTCCCTGGCCATCTTGGCAAGCGTTTGAACTCTCAGGAGTCTCTTCTAGTCAAAGGTTTCCTTTACTCCTGCACTATCTAGAACACCATAGACCATACCGTACCCTTATGGCTGGACTCGGCCTGTTCGTCCTGTGTGTGACGACGAAGATTGTCCGAAGCTACCGCCTTGGACCTTGTCCTCTGCTTTTGTTGAACTTCGCTGGGCCGAACTTCATTAAGCCGAACCCCATTGACCTAATGCTTATTTTGGTTGGGAGGGGGCGCAGCTACATCAACTGGTGGTGGCTGAGGTGTCAACTGAGCCATAGCCGTTTGAAAGGTGTCATATTGCTGTTGAAGCAATGCAATCTGGGCTACGCTGGCTTCATTCGCCTAACGAAGTGCTTCGAATTGGTGCAAGAACTCTTCTCGTGTCTTTTGCATCAACTCCATCTGCTGATCAACCGCTGTTGATTCTCCATTTGACATTCCAGATTGTGGAAACAAAAACAATTTGAAACAAAAGTGGGAGTATATTTCTATACGCTTCCTACAGACGGCGCCAAAGTGTAGGTGCAAAATTTCTCTCTATTAAAATAAATAAAAAGAAAAAATACAACTCACTCAAAACAAGCAAATATAATACTCAAAGACAAGTGTATAATGCTCGATGCTTTTATTAGAGGTCTATGCCTCTATTTATAAGAAATAAGGTGGTGGAATTATAGTGGGACTCGCATGGCTTGTCCTCCAATTCATTCCATACATGACATTCTTTACAATTATAATCCTTTCCTTTTTACAATTCTTTCCATGCAGAACTTTCCCTGCACAGAACTTGCTTTCTTTGTTGATTCCTTTGTCTAGCAGGACTAGTCTACCTTCAATTAGGATTGGGCTGAATGTGGGCTGATCTAGACGATTCGGTAAATGGGCTTTGAGTTCACCCTTGGCGCCCCGGGCTATTGACTTCTGGGCTTAGTAAGTGGGCTGGATGGCCCGGGTCAACGGTCTATATGGAAGCAAGACTTTGTCTGGGCTTGTTCCGGACTGGGTTCTCCCAATTTAGGCTTGACACCGATTGGGCCCTTGCTGCATTTAAGATAATTTTGTAGTGTGGTGACGTGGACGATTCTTACTGGAGGTGGGAATTTTTCCCTCCATAGGGAGCGTTTTGAGAGCGTCTGTATATTAAGTTTAAATAAAATTATATAAATTCATGACATATATATTTTCTATTTATTTATTTATTTAAATCCATATGTAACTATTTTCATTATTATTTATTCTATGAATGATATAATAAATAAGCTAACTTTTCTCACTAATAGAAGCGTGGTTTATTTGTAATATTCTCCAATTGGAAAGTTTTTTTAGTAATATATTTTTAAACATTAATATTATATATATATATATATATATATATATATATATATATATATGGTAGTATAGCAATGCCAATACAACTGGGGCATACGTGTATTTTAAGTAATTAGCCTATATATTGAGTAATAATGTATGTAATAAATGCATATATGATAATATAGGTGTTCCATATCATTGGGACTATAACAAATTTAGTTGTATAAAGTGAATTCGTATGGAAATCGTGAATTAGGAAAACAAATTTGCGAATTACAAAAATTAAATTCGCAGATTTTGTGCGAATTCGTTCCCAAATCACAAATTCCCGTGCAAAACTTCAAAGCGGGGCCACTTTGAATCAATTGTGTGACTAAGGACATAGCCAACCTCTTGGAATAGCCAACTTTTGAATAAAGAAAAAGAGTAAGCCAGAGCCAACCTTTTCAAATATTGGAATGGCTAACTTGACCGTATCACATCTTCACATATAAGGCCACAAGATCTCTGAGCTTCATTCATTTCCTCTCCTACTTTTAGAGTTCATATTAGCTTCCTCTTCAATGGCACAGGTACTGTTTTAGCAATTTACAGCTCAATTGAAGTTGCTATTACTTTCATGAAGTGATATAAGAATATATATATCTATATATATGTGTGTAATTCATAATTTTGTCTTTTATTCTTGTTTGGAATTTATTGGCAGAAGGTGGGGTTGAAGGTCATGACCATGACTGATGAAAAGACATAGTAGAAAGCTATTGAAGCAGCAGCTGATATTTGTGGTATGGTATTCAACAAACATATATTCTGTTTCCAGCATCAAAATTTTCTCTATCTTAAGAAATTACCTTTAACAGTTTCAATTTAATTATATTCCATAGGTCAAATGATAATTTGATTATTATTTTATATATAAACAGTGTCAATGTTGTCTAAGATCACTTATGTAGCGTTTGGAAGTAACAAATTGGCGGCTTAAAATTGGACGATAAATTTTTTATTCCTAGGTGCAGATTCCACACTCAAACATAATAGTCCAAAAACATAGTTTGGACTCTCAAGCTTCCTCTTTTATTTGGTAATGAGTCTGCTGTCCAATAATCAAATTTCCAATAGTTCAAAAACCAACTAGAAATGTATTAAATAGAAACAAATGCCCAATGCACGTGTGAGTTCATATATATAGAGAGAGAGAGAGAGAGAGAAATGGTTGTATTATTTACTGTTAAACACATGTATGAATGTGTAAAAATGACATGGTATTATTCTTTGGTCAATGTGTGCATGAATGTGACATGAAGTGTGCTTGTTTCAGATCTTTGAAGAGCGACCACCATGACTCTAACTTCCAGGGATTACTCTGCATGACTCTAAATCTTCAAGTATGACATTCAATGTAGCTAAATCTTGTGTCTACCTTCATAATTGTGTTTTATATAAGTTATATATTAAAGCATTTCTATGTTTTATTCATGCTAGCTAATTGTGTTTTGTTCAGTTAAAGTATGATTTCTCTCTAATTCTCACACCTTAAAGTCTTATTAGGGTTGATATTTATAGCCCCCTACAATTGAACATAACTTGTCCTATGAGAATTGCCTTTTGTAGAGTTCAAAACCAACAAGGAAAATAAATCACGTAGGTTCCCAGAATAGTTGAACCGGTTCAGCCTTTCTTGAACGGGTTCAACTTTGTTGCCCAAACTTGCTGCAATACATTACCCCACTTGAACCGATTTAAGGAATGCTAAACCGGTTCAACTTTGGCAGTGGCCAAAGTTAAAACCAACTACTTCAGTTGAATCGGTTCTAAAATTCTTGAACCGGTTCATATGTGCTAGTATCCAAAAACATAGAACTATTTAGCTTCCCAAGATCTTTTCACGTAATCATATGATCAGACTCCACAAAAAAAATGCAACAATCTCCCACTTGGAGGCTGGAGCACTTGTAAACCCATTCCATCTTCTTCTCATGCATGTCCCATACATGTTGGTGCGCTTCTCTCTGTCTTTAAGCTAAAAGACCGATTGAAGCTACCCATAACTTCAGTTTATCCACAGTCACTGTCTTGGTCAACATATCAGCCGGATTCTTGGTACCAAATATTTTCTCAAGTGTCAACACCCCATCTTATAACAAAGATCTGATGAAGTGATACCGAAGTCCTATATGCATGGTCCTTGAATAAAATGCTGAATTCTTTACTAGATGTATCGCACTCTGATTATCACTGTGCAAAATATTCTTCACCCGTTCGAATCTCAACTCTGTCAACAAACCTTGTAACCAAATCATCTCCTTGCTAACCTCTGTTATTGCCACATACTCTGCCTTTGTAGTAGATAACGTTACAATCCTCTGTATTTACGAAACCCAACTAACTGTAGTTTTACCCATCGTGAACACATACCCGGTAGTACTTCTTTTGTGGTCTACTTTACCAACAAAGTCTGAATCTACATAACCATGTAACTTCACCTCGCCCCTTTTGAATCATAGGCATCTGTCTGTGGTACCTCGTAGATATCTCAATATCTACTTCATTGCTTCCCAGTGTAGCTTGCCCAGATCCTTCGTAAATCTGCTTACTGCTGCCACTGCATATGCAATGTCCGGTCTTATGCACACCATGGCATACATCAAACTTCTAATGGCTGAGGCATATGAAATTTTAGCCATGAAGTTTTTCTCATCCTTTGTCTTCAGACACTGATCTTGAGATAATCAGAAGTGATTAGCTAAGGGAGTATTCACTGCCTTAGCATTATTCATGTTTAACCTCTTTAGAACCCGTTCAACGTACTTAGCCTGAGACAACTGCAAAGTACTTTTCTGTTTGTCTCTGTTAATCCCCAACACAAGAATTTGCATTGCTACACTGTGACACCCCTCAATTCCAAAGCCACGGGTTGATCAAGTTCGAGCCCAAAATTGAGGGATATCAAACAATTAATAATAGACAAGCACAGAATACAAGAGGGAATAAGAATAAATAATAAAGCTGAATAGAAAACTAAATAATAATCCTCCAATAAATAATAATCCATTAAAATAAT